GCTAATGGTGAAGATGCCAGCGTTGGACTTATAGATGTACCGTTTGGATGCTGCATGCAACTAATTGAACATCTTCTACTCAGCAGCCACTCGCTGCCCTTGCCTTGTAGATCGGTTGGCCAATTCTATGTCGGATTCCTTAAGATTGCAGAGTGTATCTGATTCTTTTATTCTTAAATTTGTGCATGCCCATGTTTTGTGTCCTCTATTGTTAGGAACTACGTTTAACTTTTACACAACAGTATCACTGTTGGCAAATTCCTTCCATTTTTTATTTCTCTTTTTTTCCCGAATTTGGAACAGCTTTTTGTGATTAGACATTTCTTTACTCTTTGTTACCTCAAGCCTTTTATTTATCCATAGGTGTTTATTCGACGGCTTACTATATAGTCCTAGTTTGTGATTTTTATTATTTTTTTTCTCGATGCATGAAGTTCTCACTTATTGTTTATTGTCCTTTTTTTGCAGTTTTCTTTTTTAATTTCTTGAAGTGCTTAGAAGAAGCTAGTGGGAGTAGACGATATAAGTTGTAATAAACATTTTTTGGAAAATTTCTTTATCAGTTATTTAAGGGTGTCTTTTCCAACAAGCTCATTTTTGAATAATTTTGTACTGACACTCGTGCGCATGAGAAATACCAAACAGTGAGGCTGTCTTCTGCTCCTTTGTTGGCATCGTGATATTGAATTTTCAACCTTCATTTTTCTCCGATCGCTTCTTTACTCAATTCAAGTTTGCTATGTGATTACAGTAAGATTCTGGAGTTGTGACAATACGCCTTAAATCGCATCTTAGATTTCACAGATGCGTTAGAGTGGTGTTTATTTGGAATTGAGGTTTTCTGCGCAATTGTGTCACGTGTCGCAAACATCTGGACTTTTTCGATTCATGATTTAGCATGCAATAACACTTCGATTCCTACTTCAAAGTGAAGACAACATGCGTCCACAAGCAATCAGCATTTTGTATAAGTGTTGCGATAGATTTTAACTAGTTGAATGCATCTTTTGAGGTAAATGTGGCTTGAAAACTTAGGTTCTTAGTTTGGAACAGTCAAGGAGAAAGCTGGATCTGAGATGAGATGTGCTAGCATATGTGTTGGGACGCAACTGCGATGTCTATTGTTTATGGACACCCACGGAATCTCCTTCAGATTTTAGTAACGTCAGTAAAAATGAATGCGCCCCTCCTTAACTAACCACAATTCCAAATTTCTTAATTTAGCAGTACGTGCCTTTTTACAAACTCTCTTTGACCTAAGAATGAAGTGTGCGCTTTTTCCGATTGCAATGGCATAGCTAGTAAGTACAGGAAGC